TTTTTTGTTCTTTTTGAGACCAGCCGCACCACGCTCAGCCAGTGAGCGCTGTGAGCGAACCAGTCATCCCTATATAGGATCCGAACCCACGACAGGAGCGCCACAGGCTCGGCCCTCTAGTCCATTTTTAATGCATGTTCATTCCTTGAGCCCCACATTTGACTCAGTTCTCTCTTGTTAAACAGCTGAAATTTTCTACAGCACAGGCATTTATTTATAAACCAGTCTCATCATGAACAATTAACGGGAGCACCTCCAGCTCCTCAAAATGTTAATCAAATTTAGACCTGATACTTAGCACTCATTCAGTAAGTATACTTGGATAAATAAGCTGTCAGTCTTGAGTGGCTGAATATTTCCCAGCGTCATCTCAAAATACCTCTCACTCCCTGGTTAGGCTGGAAGAAATTCACCAAGGTGATTTATTTTTGCAGGGTCAAGAAGCCACCTGTGACATGTAAAAATGGTAGAATCAGCTTTCCTTCCCGTTATATTTTTTAAACTTACTGGTGCTGGAGTAATTAACATAAAAGTCACATACAAATGGGAAACAAGTTTGCCTTTTACGAGAAGTCTCTTTTTGTGAGGTCCATTGCTATCACAAATCCTTTCAGGTTTGTATGAGATAACTGGCTTTCTCAGCTCTGCCTTTACCTTCTTCCTCAAGTGGGCAGTACTTTGTCACTTCCAGCGATTTTCTTCCCCGTTATTCATTCTTCCTGACGTTTCTTGATAGAGTCAGGAACAGACCTTTGAAAGTTAAGTTTATCTTTTTGAAAAGATCAATGATAGTGTGGACTAGCTCAGCAGGTAGGATTGAACATGATGAAGAACCTAGTTTAAACCAAACGAACATCAATAATAAAAATATCATTGTCTTTATTAATTTTAATTAATTTATTAAGTGCCAGTTATAATTATGTGATTAATGCATTCAGTTCTCAGAACAACCCTGTAATGTAAGCTTTCCATCCAGCCTTTGCAGATGAGGAAGGGGAGGATTGGAGAGATTAAGTCAGTTGCCTGGGGTCTCATAGCTAGTACATGGCTGAGTTAAAATTTGAACTCCTGTCTGCACATTTCCCATTTCATCAGTGCTTACAAGAAAATGTTAATGCAGCTGTCCAAGTCTGGAAAGAGAAGGGTTCTTGAGGAGAGATGCTTAAGACAAATGATGACCTGTTCAGCAGGAATATAGTCCTATTTCTGTTGTCACTTAGTTGGAAGATTTAGAAGGCTGAGATGTGGAAACTGTGCACTTAATGAATTGAACAGAGGTTTGACTGACTCACATGGATGTTTCTTTGCCTTCTAGGAAGATTTCCAACCGGCAGCAGACTCAGAAACCAACTGGGAATCAGTGACAAGCTCTATCTCAGTAAGTAATTTATTACTCTGTTGCCAGGGGAAGAAATTGATGAAATAGCTAAGGTCAACCCCAGAAGGACTTCAGCTACGTTAAGGACCTGTGGCTTGAGCAAAAGCTGGATCTCAGCAGAATGTGTTCCATCATTTCATTCAGGTTACCGTGGGTTATATCAGACACACTTTTTTCCTCTCTTTCAGAAAAGTTTCCAGGAATTACAGTATACTATTGTAGGAACTCAAGATAGACACTGATTTAAATATTCATCAGTCTCAAAGCAGAGCATTCCAATAAGAGGACTGTCCAGACATGTCAAACGTAGCAAACTTGTCCATGGCCCATGCTCAAGTGGGGAATTTCAAAATAGCTTTTTGAATATTCCAGGAGAAGATGTTAACCTTTGCGTTTTCAAGGGTCTTTTCAGACTTAAAAAATCCCAATGTTTACAGTAAGATAACTTAAGTGAAAATCAGGCATGTATTCTATTTGACTTGGATATAAAACATAACTCACCCTGAAGCTGTAAAATGGTTCATGCCCCAATTTTTTCTCCAAATTTAGTCATTGCTTAGTATTTTGTCTCCTTATTTACTTTGCACAGAAAGAGCAGACCTTCTTTTCACCAATCCTATGTGTAGCACTTATGTAGTGAGAAAATACACAATAGCAAATGCAGCTGTTCATAAAAAGGTCAAGAGGGGGGGAATGCTTGTCCATGGTTCTAAAGTGGGTCTGTGTGGCTGAATCAGAGTTGAATTTTTTTTCCAACAGTGATATGCTATCTTTTTTTTTTTTAATTCCCTCCTATGGCAGGATTTCTTCAGCTATGGATTCTGTGACTATTTAATTCACCTCATGTATTGCTAGACTAAAAAGTCATCTGATCAAGAGATCGGTGAGGTTTCTGATGGTAATATTGAGTGCTTGGTTTGTTTTTGACAGTGCAGAATGCAAGCTCTGAACCTAGCTCAGGGTAGGCAATCATTCTTAGTTAAGTGAAAATTAAAATAAGGCAGGTAATACTGAGGAGCTGATCAGGCTAAGCAGGAGGGTTGGGCAGTTAGCAGCCCAAGACTGAGGACTCAACGTGGCTGCCAACAGCAGATTTTGCAACCAAGACTCAGTGTGCTATTCCTGTCAAGGGATCCTCCAGCTTCTCAAACACGTATACATGAGAGCTCAAGGTTGTCCAATCCTTCCTGCCCCACATGCAGAATTACAAGCCTGGAAGGACTTTTAGCTAATTAAAGATAATCCATGTCTATTAAAAGAGAGGGATATCCCATTCATTTGGAGTATCTGAGGAAGTTTGTTCCTAGGTCCATATCCTCTGGAAACTCTTCCGGTTTGAGTTCCAAGTCAAGATACTGCTTAGCATTCTTGGAATATCAGGGCAACTTAGCTCCTTTTTTCAGTATTCGGTTTTTCAAGAACCTTCTGGAGTAGGAGCAAGGGCCATCGGACCTACCATTACCTTCTGTATAAACCATACTTTGTTTTTGTTGAAAGCAACTTACAGTTTTCAGATAATTTTTTACAAATTATTATCATCTTAAAGTAATTTAGTTAACTTTAGAATTGACTTTTTATAAATACACGAGTACTTCAAAAAGTTCTTGAAAGATTCACTTTATCTTTTAATTCTATTTTTCCATGAACTTTTTGAAGTATGCTCATATAACAAAAGCTGAATGAGATCATATTTCTAATGCAGCTGACGTAGGCACACCCAATTAGTTCTTTCTGTCAGAAATAATTTTTAAATATTACCTCAGAAAGAAAAATGTTCTCGTGGGTTTATTTTGTCACCTAATCACTCATAAATATTTTCTTAACCATCAGCACTGTTCTGCCAAATGCCCTAAGTAAAAACTTGAAAACAGCAGTAAGGACATAAGTACAATTTTAAACAGCAGTAAGGACATACATAAGGACAGTTTTACATTTTACCTGTGGTTTGAATTTGCTCTTCGCCTGAGGTTAGAAGAGATTAGATTTCCCCCTCTCCCTCAGGGACTGAGAGCCTCCCACAGGTTTCTCTTGGCGAGCTATCTGGGAACACTACACTGTAGGCATTATTAGGTGCCACTCCAGAAAATTCCTTGCAGCCACTTTTCCCAGAGCTATCAATCCACTTGTGTGAGAATGCTTGATTGATATCCTTGCTTTTATTTCAAAAAAGAAGGAAGCATTTTAATTTCAAGGCTTTTATATGCTGCCATGCTCCTAACTTGGGTCAGCTCATTTTGATTTTCTGGATCTTAGACCTGCACTCTTATGATATCAGACAAATTATAAATCATCTGGTGAAAATAAGCCTGACAGACTATAGAGCAAGATGATATAAGTTGAATTAGGATTTGGAATTATAGTACTGAATTATAAGTATTATCTACCCTTAGCATGTGATACCCAGAATGATGGGAAGGACAGAAATTATGTGCTTCAGGTAGAGGTTAGCTCACATCAGATGCAAACACTCACGCACACACACATACACACACACACCTAGATTAAAGAGCTGGCCTATCAAAAACAGAAGGAACAAATATGGTTGCACCTAGTTTGGATCCCTATCCTATCAAGGAGATGACTGTAGAGCTTGTCTTTAACATGGCTTGAGCTATTCACAAATCCCTAGACTCTTCGGTAACGTACTCAACATGACAGAGACCATGCCAGATAAATGAGTGTATTACCTGGATACACCTGTGCAGAATATAGAGTGAACTCGTTAGGAGGTAATGCAAGTAGCACGGTGGGAAAAGTCTGGTCCAGGATGAGGATGTCTACTTATTCTGCAAGAGCTGACTGAAAATTAGGTGAATGGTTTCTCTAAATGAATAAGGAATAAATAAAAATTTAAGAAGAGCCTGACCCATTCTCCAGTTTATCTCATGTCTCCCACCCTCCTCTCCAACTCCCATCTTCCCCCCACTCCCTTTCCCTTACAGGGCATATTTGAAACTGCTCTTGAGTTACACCAATGGTAGATGCATGCTTTCATACCCCTTAATTTTGCTAAAGAGGGACCATTCCTCCGACAGCAGGTGATCATCGAATGGCTTACTGACCTTTGGACCTTGGTTGCTTAAAAGAGAAAACATGAAAACATTACCTGAGAGTGAGAATATAAACTGTGGGCTTTGCTGCCTAAGAATCTGTAGCACATATTATTTCTCCTTAGGATACTGCAGTTAAGTTTCAGGAAAGCAAGTTTTCATTAATTTTCATTTTCCCTTAGTGAGAAGAGATATTCACCCTTGGGGGAGCTTATTTGTTTGGCAGTTTCTTTAAAGACATTTAGAAATCATTTGAGGCTGTATACTCTCTATTTCCTTGTTAATGGGTCATGAATTTTTACAGAGATATTTGAATCATGGTTCATTTACCTCTAGATTGTACAAGGGTTAGTGAAGTAAGTGGTTAGAAACCTTGTGTGGGGATGCATTCCATGGCAAAATACAAAATCCTTTCTAGACTTACAGTGATGTTGGCTTTCTCATTTAAAGAGTATTTTCTGAGAATGTTTTAATTGCAACCGGGATCACCAGCAAGCTGCAGCACTTTTTAATATGCTTCCCATATGAATCTTCCACACTGAAGTCAAGAGAGCCAGTTTTATGGCTAATTATCCTTGTTAACAGTAAATAAATTGGTTAAAGTGCCAAATTTCCTCAAAATGTCTCTAGAGTAGTTTCAAATACTGCTCACACATCATCTGCAATGCTAGATGACATGTAAAAGGGAGATACAGAACCTAAATGTGGGAGAATGGAATGAATGATCAAAATTCACATGGAAGGAATTTGGAATTTTAATTCTCACCATTATTTGTTGATATATGGATAATTCAGGACCTTGAACCAAGAAACTGGATGAACTAATTTTGATATTTCCATCTAGCCTGTATCTTTTTACGTGATTATAGCTTATATGAATCAGAAGTTTTATGATCTGCTTGGCTTTGATTGCAAAAAAGTGAATGACCTTTACCAATTAATTGTTTTTATTTAAGAATATGGCAAGACATTGGCAGAGTGCTTTTACCTGGTATTTAGACATATGATGTCTTATAGTCAGAGCCTGTTTGTCTTCCTTCCATATAGTTGTGTGGCTGCTGTATTTTATAGCCATGGACTTTTTCTGAGTACACTGTGCTATATGTCACTTTTAGGAGGTAGCCTATCACTCTCTATCAGTAACGGATCCCAATCTCACGGCGGATGCTCTGGACAAAACAATTGCAGAATTTGATACTGTGGAAGATCTGCTCAAGCACTTCCACCCAGATTCGTGGCAAGAAGATCTGGAGAATTTGTATCTGGACACGCCTCATCATCGAGGCAGGTCATACCATGACCGGAAGTCAAAAGGTAGGCTTGGGGGTTCTTTATAACCAGACAGGAGTGTTAATAGTAATAATAAGTAAAAATTAGCCATGCAATATATTTAATTCACTTAAATCAGATGATTACTATCAGTCTGTTATCACTTATTTATTTCACAGCACTTTCAAATGAAGTTCTATGTTTTGTCCAACCTGTGTTATTTGGATGGGACTAAGAAAGGTTTGATCTAGTCAAAGATATGTCATAGTTTGGAGCTAGAAGAAAGCTTGTGAAATCATCTGGACCAGCTTCTTGCTTCTTGGCAAGTAAGGCATGATTAGCCCAAATTTTGCAGAGGCCGTAACCAAAGACAAGGGAGGTAAATAATTTGCCAAAGGCTGAGTGACTAGTTAGCAATGAAGAAGAAATGAGAGCCATGGTCTCTTCTCTACAATGACAGTGCTTCTGTAATAGTCTACCACGACTCTCTGAGATATGAGGGTTGGTTTAGTCTAGGACTGTCAATGTTGGCAGGAGATGCTCCTGTTAAAGCAAAAGCCAACATTCTATTGGAAGATTTCAACTCTACCCACTTGATGTCCATTCTTCAATTTTTAAAAAAAAATTTATCATTACACAATGTAAACATTTTTTGTGACCCTTTACCAATTTCTCTCTAACTCTCCTTCCCCCTCTCCCTTTCAAAAATTTTTTTATCAGGATCTACTGTGTACTTGTTACCTGGGTGATTCAGGTGCTTATGATATAAATGTCCCAAGGGAGAGGAAAAGAAGGTCTGGGATAGTTTGGAGGTGTGTGAGAGCACATCTCAATTGGATGTTTCAGGAAAGCACAATGAGGGGAGAAGAGAGAGGAACATTCAGGCAGAAAGAATATCGTGACTTCAAACAATAGTACTTAAAGTATAAATATCCTAGTCATATATCTGAGTGATACGATCTTAGGATGAAAATGTTTATTGGAATGTGAGACTCAAATTAATAGAGAAATAACATGTAATGACCTCCTGTTGAATCAAACTCTAATTTCTAGTCTGTTATATCCTTGCTTCATTTGATAAGTTTGCTATCATTAAAATTTTCACTAAAAAGACTTATAAGGCTGGGCTTGTATCATAGATGTGAAGATATTTAGCTACGAGAGGCCTTATTTCCTAAACTTTATAATATCAAGGATGTTTTTAAGAACTGTGAACCTGGGCTGCTTTAGTACAACCAGTTAGAACATTTAGGCCAGGGGCTGGCTGGTTAGCTCAGTTGCTTAGACTGTGGTGCTGATAACACCAAGGACCAAGGTTTTATCTCTGTATCTACCAGCTGCAAAAAAAAAAAAAAGAAAAGAAAGAGAGAGAGAGAGAGAGAGAGAGAGAGAGAGAGAGAGAGAGAGAAAGAAAGAAAGAAAGAAAGAAAGAAAGAAAGAAAGAAAGAAAGAAAGAAAGAAAGAAAGAAAGAAAGAAAGAAAGAAAGAAAGAAGAAAAGAAAGAAAGAAAGAAAGAAAAAAAAAAAATTGGGTCTAAAGTGACTAGGTAACTCCTGCATGAGTCTTCTGCTTATGGCATAGGTTATAAATCTTATATACCTAAAATACACAGCTAAGAGGAGAAAAAGAAGTCACTGCTGGCCCTGATGTTACAGAGATATGCCATATACAGATCACTGTATGAGTAACTCTCAAACTGAATCTCCCCAGGGATCAGATTGGATCCAGTTCCAAGAAGAAATTGCTTTTCTGTGTGGTGTTCCTGTATTTGAATCTCTACTAGGTCAACCTGAGGGAAAGTAAAATAGTAACATGTTTTTAAAAATTCTAGAAGAAATATTAAAAATGGTTTTGGAGAAAGAAGCAATAAAGTCTGACTCTGTCTTCAAACATGTTAACCACTACAGCTATTAAAGTGGTAGCCCTACTTGGCACCTCATTTCTGGAAATATTAAAATTTAGAAATCACCTAAATCCATTACCTTTTTTTTTTTTTTTTCCCAAAAGTTATGTTGAGTTGGAGGCAGGAGGCCTGGATTCAAATCCTAATCCTGCCATTTACAATGTTGCGATTTTTTCAGTAAGTCACCAACGCTTCCTAAGTCTGGTTCCTCACTGGCAATGTGTGTATAATATTACTTACTTCTGGGGACTGTTTGTGGTGCCATTAAGAGCACCTGGCACATAATACTTGTTGGAGAATTATTAGCTAGCTCTAGCTACTTAGAATTTTGAAATATGCTTGCATCATTTCCTTGAGGAAGGCTTTCTTGTCCCTTGTCCTGTTCCTGTGATCCCCCACCCCAAGCAAAATTAGGAGTACCTGGGATACCACAGCACTTTATGTGTCCTAGTACTGCACAGTTATTGTACTTTTGTGTGTGTGTGTGCAATCCCAAGACTTCCTATGGGTCTCAATATTGGGTGTATATTAAATCACCTGAGTTGCTTTATAAAACTACAGATGCCTAATCCCACCGCAGACACATGGATCCAGAATCTCTGGATGGCAGGGCTAGGGTATTGATGTTGTCCTACGGTTCCTGAAAGATCCATCCTTACAGTCAGCCACGGTTGAGAGCCACTGGTTTAGAGATTGTTCATCTTATATCTCTAGCACTTGGCTCAATATCTGATTTTGATGTTCAGTAATGTTTGTAGAATTGAAGATATTAATAATCCAGCATTAGTGTATTTCTACCATTTATGGAAACCCACCTCATAGACTAAGGAGTGTAGCTTTATTAAGAATGCCTTTGGATACTGAAATCACCTTGCAAGAGCATTCGAGACCACAATCTACTTGATGTTTGTGAGAGAAAACATCATCTCTCTCCCCTGTTGGCTTAGGTTCCATTTCTTAATCTCTTGTTTAAAATGACCCTAAGGCAGCCTTGTACCATTTCATTTAATCCTGCCAAGTCACCACCATCTCTGCATTTGTATAAATGTACTGATTTAATTGTTTATCATTCCACTGATGTTGAACCACCTCCGTGCATCACAAAAGCAAGGGAAGTCAGGTTTAATATTTCAGCTGGTATTTTCCACTCTTAGAATTTAAAAATACAAATTCATGGCTTGTATCCTGATGTATGAGGAAGGAGCAGTGAATAAAAGATTAAAAAAATTAAAATACTTACAAATCATGGGAGTTCTCTAGGTGTCAGATAAAACATGAACTTTTTAAGATCTCCAGAAAAGTTTCCAACTATCAGTATAATAGTTTCTTAGTGCTGTTGAGCAGAAGCAAGTTTGTCATCTATGAATATCTATTGAGCATCTGTTCTTCTGATTTGCTCAAACAGATCAAAACTGGCAATTTTCATGATTCTGAAGAGCAGGATTTTGAAGAGATGACACTTGAATGTGAATATACAAAACAGTTTTATAAACTCTAAAATATAACTCAGACGCACTGGGTGAAGAACTTATGTAGTGAAGCAGAAAAAGTTCATATTTTTAAATTAAATTTTACGTTTTGTTTCTCCATTTTATTTAGTAGAAGGGAGGTTAGATGATAGTGAGTTTTAGTTCTCTTCAAAAAGAGGGTTGAAAATGGGAAGCAAGAGGACAGTAAAAGTTTGGGGAGAAAAGGGAGAGAGACAAAAAACATTGCCCAGTATTGAAAAGCCGGAACTCCAACACATAAGGTCTACTTTTTGAAAAAAAGTCTCAAGTAATAGATAAGTTAAACTTGTCTGTAAAAGCTTCTGGACTGAAGATAATGTAACAAGTTAATATATCCAACTTTCAGTTTCCTAGAGGGTAATGGGGAAAAGGGTGGCATGTATAATTGAAATCTGTAGGTAACTGCAGTTCCAAAACCCAATTTTTGCCAATAATTTCAACCTCATGCTTTCAAACTCAAAGCTGTCCAACAGTTAAAAAAAATGTTCAAGTTGCATTTGCTTTTTTTGATGGGCATGCTAATGAGTATAGCAAATATGCACAAAATTAGGTAAAATATGAGTGTTCTTTCTATAAGCTACATAATTACTATCTAAATCATTATATGACCGTCATAGTTTAACTAAAACTAACCTATGATTCATTTAAAAGATACACCTATGAAATTAGGGGCAGTGTATATGTATTGAAGTTTATAGCATAAAATTCAACATTTCTAAATTAAGAAATTATCAGCCCTGAGCTCTTCTAGACTGGACAGTAACTGAAAGGTGATTAATGGCGATTAACAATGTTAAGTGGGATCTGTTCTTTTGCTTATTCCAAGAAAGCTTGGCTTTCCAGAATGATAGCATATTTTCCACAGAAAAATCTAACACATAATGGTAAGGGGAAAAGGCTGTTTTCATAATTTGTTGTGATCTAAATTAGTAGTTTTGAACTATTAATAAAAATACATTCTTCCCCAAAGAGTTATCATTTTTAGATACATATTCTGAAATTGACATGTACTCCTCTTTTTAAAAAAAATTGTATTTTAATATTGAGTGCAGTGAATATCAATATTAATTCCAAATGATGGGGCTTGAAATATGATTTTTACAGACTCTAAATGGCTAAATGTTGTAACTCTGGAACAGATACCAACCTGTTTTCAAGGATCTAATACCAATTCTGTGATGTTCTACCTGACATTTTGCTGTAAGATTTAAAACACTTGACTCTAATTTGCAAAGTATGTATAGATTAATAACTGGCATAAGAAACAGGAACAAATGAAATAAATATATTTCATATCAAGATGTTTGAACTGGCTTTAGGTCAGAATAAGTTTAGGTCAGAATACATTTTATTTTTTAAAATTAATCATTTATTGCTATTTCTTTGTCATGTCACTGCATGCTACCCAGGGGGATATTTGCTTTTTCAAAAATGATTTAGAATGTAGGAAATAATTTTAGAGTGTATTAAGACATAAACATGTTTTAGAAACTGACTGCTTGCAACTTAATCTATCTACGTATTTGATGCATGGGTGAGAATTTGCAAAAAGCTTTTGGCTGACTCCAGTGATGAATCAGATAAGTCATTCTTGAGATATCAGCCCTCTGTAATTGCTTCCCTATAAGTTAAGC